TGTAGCATGAGAGAACTGCAGACTTTTATTTCGTTATAAAACCTTTTGTTGTAAAAATGTACTTGATTCCTCGAAAAAAAGGAGGTCGCTGTTCTTTTACGGCTACCGATAAAAGTATCACAAGGGAGCTATTGAAGCCACTCGGTTAACTTGGATCAGAAACGTGGCTTTCGTGTGTGACATTTAAATAAAATGATGAAACCGGCCTTTTATTCTCCAGCTGACCAGGTGTCGTATAGTGGAACGGTCAAACAAATGCTAGTTTGTACAAGATTAAGGATTTGATACTGTGTCCACACTGCCATATTCATAAAGTAGAGTCATATTATCAACTATGAAGAAAGTGCAGATTAGATTTTCTCCATTTATTATAAAGTTACACACACACACAGTGTTATGGCTACAGTGCAACATACAATACTCTGATATTGATGGCTCAAAATAATTTAACTCACAGATCTCAGATAAAGTAACAGATGTAAAGTTCAGTAGGTGAGGAGAAATGTGTTCATACTGACATTTTGGAGTTTCCTTGCTTTTGAGAGACTCGTTCATTTTATTCTTCTCTGTAATTATATCAACTAAAACCAAAGCATTTATTGACTTATTTTTCTATTTATTTCTCCATTTTTTTTATTTTTTTTTAGCGTTTTATTGACCTCACAGATCCAAGATGGACTCTTCCGGAGCTGAAGTTGCGTAAAAGACAAACGTCCACAACCACCGCATTGGTAGACTTAACTGAGAGCGACGTAGCAAATGTGTCAGAACAGGAGATGGAGAATTTGCCACCGGACGACTGTCAAATAAAAGAAGAAACCACAAATAAAAGTCAAACTTCAAGCGAACAAGATTTTAAAAGCTCTTCAAAAGACCCGCCTCTATTTGCACTAAAGCGGAGCCATTTGGATTCTCCAACACAGGACCAACGGCAGACTGATGAAACACAACATTACACACCAACTGTGAAATTAAGAAGATTGTCTTTTCTCGAAACTCACGTCACAGAACTGAAAACGTCAAGATGGTCCGTCTACTTGGCCAAAGATTCTACTCAGATGTCACTGCATCCCAGACAACTAGACGGTAAAGCTGAAGCACCAGAATGTCTTAATAATAATTTGACTCCTCCATCAAACGGTACTCACATGGAGCCTTCGCTGGATGAATCTCCTCCTAAGGTGATTGAATCACTTGTCAGACAGGAACAACTAGAGAACGGGAATGAAATTACGAGACCGGTACTGTTAGATGATGAAATGTCTCCGCGTCTGGAGAGCCCAGCTAACTCTCCCTGCTCGGATAAAGGGAGCTCGGTTGCAGCCTCAAAGGAGCGCGTCGCTCATGAAGACGAGACGAATGACTTTTGCTCATCCATGCTCGTCACCTCTCCGTCGTCGCCTTCGTCTCAGAATAAAGCACAGGGTTCCCCCCGAAGAGAAGTCGACCTGGAACAACTGGAGTCTGCCCACTGTCCTACCACTGAACTGAACCCCTCTGAGCCTTTTGACTTCGACTCTCCGTCCCACACAAGTCCCATATCTCCTACCCACATGAGCCAAGTCGAGCCAACACCCACTTCTGAACATACATTAGCTGAGAATACGTCTGAAGGGCAATCGGAGGATGCTAAGGCTGATGAGGCTCCAAACAGCCCAGACCTGCTGCACTGTACCGTCCCTACTGAATCTCCTTTGTCAGTGTCTAAAACTGAGGACATGGATGACAGATCTGGGGCCGGGACATACAGAGGTGATATGGGAATGGACAGTCCAGTGTCTTTTCTTTGGCAACAGGAGAGTGATGGAGAAGAAGTGAACGAAGAGAGCAGATTTGAAATGAACTTTAGGGAAGCCAGTCGAGAGGACAGGCATTTTGTGTGCCCGGTTACACTCAGGAAAATAATGTCTGGACCAGCTCAGGCCTTGGTGAGAGACCATTCTGCAGATGTTTACATTAGTTTGTTTCTGTTGCTGTCATTAACTCCTAACGTGTGATTACATTCTAGGCTTAAAAGTACAGCATTTCTTTTCTTTTTTTTATGTTTTTTTTTTTTTCCTGAAGATTGAAGAGGAAGACGAAGGTTTTGGAACTCCAGAGGTACTATGCCGTCAGAGCCTGAGCCTGGTTTACAGTACCATTGATGAGAATTACCCAGAAGGTACTTTGCAGCTCTTGTCTGACCTACTACAGCCTGGTTACTATCCCCCCAGAGATATCACTTTCCACCTGCTACGGGGCATTCTGCTCGAACCACAGTGTCCTTTTCACCTGTGTGTGCAGGCCTTTAATCTGCTGATCAGGACTCAGAGGTAAGGGAACCGTAGGAGTATTATTTGTAGCCTTTCCAATGTAAAGTCTTTCTCTGTCCTTTTTGGCCTCTCTTTTATCTTGTCTCTCTTTCTGATTTCAGACACCACATGGCAGATAAAACCACAGCTCCGTGGGACTGGGAGCTGTTGACCTCAGTCATGGCCAATCAGGTATTACTCCAGGCAGCAAAATGTGAACACACAGTAAAGCTTGGTGATATATAAATATACAGTACCATCAGCGTTGTTGAGCCAGACCGTATTGAATGGGATTTTGATTGTAATATCATGAAATCACAGAAACTTTTAAAAAAACTTGGCAGACACATTTACAATTGAACATTTTAGTAAACTGACATGTCTCTACCTGTGCCCCTCTGGCTTCTGTTGGACCACAGAGACATCGATGTGAGGTTGTGCGCATGCTCCTGGAGTACGTTGTGCAGACTTTGGAAGATGACTTCCAGGCCAAACTTTCTTCCTCTGCCCTCCACCACTCCATAGCCAAGACAACATTGTCATGTGATCAGCAGTTCCCTCGTGTCAGGTGAGTTTGGTAAACAGGGGTCTCTGTTGTAAATCAAGATGAGAGGGTTGGTCAGTTTCATTGCCGTTACATTACCATGATAATTTACAGGTTTTGTTGAAACTGTTTGGAAGCTGTAGTTTTATGTTTTAACAGTGGCATCTTATATGAATACACTGCTCTTTTCTGTTGATCTTGCATCTTACTGGATGTTTGCCATGTTACCCCCCAAACCCCTTTTGTGTAAATGAAACTGCACTATGAAAAGAAAGGAGTTCAAATAATTGTATTTATTACTATTTATTTTAAAAGGTTTGTTTGTTTGTTTGTTTTCCAGGGATGTCATCAAGTGGCTGTTTTCTGCCATTGTGAAATCAACAGAGCCCAGAGAGTGTAGAGAAGCAGCCAGAGAGAGAGATGAACAAATTAGGTGAATTAAAAAGAAAGAGTTAATATTTTTTAATAAGGAGCCATTAACTTGGGTAACCGTACTCAGATTTATCTGCATGTTATATCATCATGCCTGTATCTATGCCTGTCTTTTCCACATTCACGTTGTTGTTCCTTTCTCCCCTGCAGAATGGTGTCCATCTTTCAGAGGATGTTGTCTTTGGCTCTGGAGGTGGACCGTTCTCCAGCTCTAACCTCTGCCAAGCTGTCCCAGGAGCTCTTTCATATGCTCATCGGCAACATACCTCTACGAGCACACAGGTGAGGACGAGATATGAGACGAGTGAAGGAGGCAGGAGAAGGTTTTGTGTCCAATAAGGAAGTGTGAGAAAGAGAAATGATTTTCTTTAATGTACAAGGAATACTCACAAAGCATTGACTGCCTTTAAATGATGAAATCATTTTAAATACAGTCACAAAATGATCTTTAAATTCAACAGATTAGTTTTAAAATGTATATCATAACAGGACATATTCACAAATGGAGCAACAAAAACTAATTAATTCACAAGAAAGCAAAATTCAGTTTTTATTTATATTTACACACAAACCAAATATGCCTCTTTTCCCCAGTTTTCCAAGCTATCATTGACTAATGTGTTTCTGACACCCAGGATGTTGTTGCTGGAGAGCCTGCAGAGCAAGCTGCTGAGATGTAAGCTGTTGGAACATCTGTTGGACTACGCATGCCCACAGAAAATCTCTCTGCCCATGTCGCTCAGTCTTCTGCTTCACTTTATGAAGAACTGCACTCTGGCACCAGATCCTACGGTGAATATCACTCTTGTGTCTTGTTTTCGTCTTTAATTTATCAGCCAATGTTTTTTTAACATCTGATTCTAATGTATGGATACATTTGCCAGAAATAGATTGTGAAATTAAAGTTGTCCTATTAAGAATTTGGGATCGTTTTCCAAGTAGATAGCTTCAATTATTTTTTTTTTTAGAAGTTAGCCATCAACCGTTCAATGCAACTGATCCATGGCTGTGTTCTTCAGGATGGTACTGAAAGGTGGCAGAGGTGGGAAGAGTTGGTCCATCTCCTCTGGATGTTGCTGCTTAGCTACAACAAAGCAATGAAAGGTGAGATGTTGGTAAATACCAGTGTACTGCGCTGCAGTAATCGCAGCTGTAATGAGGGAATGGCTCCATATGAGTGTTGAAAAATTAAACAGAACATAATTTTGTCTTAGAATGATGAAACAATATTTCTGTCATTCAACAAATATTAAAATAATATGGTGAGTCAGGTGATTTAAGAATCAAAACCAACGTCTTCAGAGACGGCCAGCTCTTCACTGTCCTGCTGCCAGGAAGCAGACAGTGCTCGGAGCCTGTGGGAAACCTCAGGCTCCAGTGAATGTGCAATATGTGGTGTGATACCATATGGGATTGTACTGAACTGTTTTAATGCCATACTTGTTTTTGTACAGCAGAGAAAGAAAAGAGGATGAAGCTGTAGTGAAGAAAGAGCTGGATTATCCTGATTAACTAGTTAAATGTTGTCTTTCCTCACTAGTGTATTTCTGTCTTTGCCTCATTTGTTGTGATGTATTCTCATAAATAATTTTCTTCATGTTGTACAATGCGTCAAATTGGAGTGATACAAAATATAATAACTTTTTAAACATTCCTGTGCTTGGTTATTTAAACCCTGATTTCAATAGTTATAATCTCTCCTGGAGAATAAGTTATATTAACTGTTTGATACCTGATCTATCGTATACCTGAATATTAAAACATTTCAACAATAAGTGACATTTCTTTCCTTTCCTAAGCTCACTTTGGTTTACTCCTAACGTCTTTCCATCTGTTCCATCCAGGCTACCTGGGCAGCTCAGTCTCTGAACAAAGAGGCAGAGTTGGCACCTTGGTCTACAAGCGGGATGACATGGTGTCCAAGCCCGCCGTTCGTGAAGCTGTGGAGTCCTTCTTGTCCAGATCCCAGGCTGACCTTGGCCAAGCCTTACCCCTCCATGTGGAAGAATCCCTCACCTATCTACAGGACCACCTGCTAGATGTCTGTCAGTGTTGAATTAAAAAAAAAACACCAAACTCTTTGTTGTGCTAATTTTCTTGGATGAGTTGTGTGTTAATTTAATATTTATATTTTGTAAGAGCTGATTGTTGAATTGTGCAATGTTTTGTATTTTAAATAAAGGCAGCGCCTTGTTGGCTATTATAAAGTCAAAATGTGTGAACACCTGGCTTCACTTAATTAATTATGTTGTCTTCTCACCGGCATAAAACATGTATCAGTTTGTGTTCAAGCAGACAAATACCCTTACATCATTACTTTGCGCACCGCTATTGATAAATTACTATGTATAATTTCTCAATAAGCCACAGCTAAATTGATCCGCGGTATCCCATCCGTCCATCTCATGGTCCATCACTCATCACTTAAGGATTTTATTTACTCTGGCTCAACAGCTGGTTGGACCGTCAACGCGCCGACCAATAGGATCCAGCGCCGTTATCGGCAGAGAGGAAAAAAAAATCCTTACAGTCGCCATGATACAGCAGCGGAAACGGGCGAGAAGTAGCTAGAAAACAAAAGAGAACACGCAGTCGTCCTCGCGATTTGGTATGCTCTTGCAGGTAAAAAAAAAAAAAAACGGAATCCTTTCTTTCACACCTGAACCGTCTCCGCTCGTTTCACCGCAGTGCTGCTGAGGTGTTTAAAGCGCCGTGGCCATTTTCCCGACGTCGGACTTCTTTGAGTAGGAAGTCGGTCAGCTTCGAATAATTGGGATCTGTTAGCTCTTAGCCAGCGAGCTAACTCGAGCTAAGCTAAATAGCTCGCAGTGGCTTGCCAACCCTGAAGCGTTGTGTTTCCGTGTGAAGCTCGTTTTGCTCTCCTTGTTTATCGCAACGACGGCGACCCTCGCTACCGGAGGCTAGCTGACAGCTAACTAATGCGCGGTTCCGTGGCCTAGCGTTAATGCGCAAGTCAGTGCTTCGCTATTATGTAAACAACAATTTGTACCAGTGTCTTTGGATGTGGTGCTGTGGGTTTTGTGCTGACCCACTCGGGCAGGGTGTTAAAGTCGGCATATCCCTCCAGTGTCACTCACTGTGCGTGTCCGTTTTCCGTCTTGATAGTTAGCATGAGCGAGCTAGCGTTAGCTTCTCAGCGTTTGTTGTGTTTAGTTTGATAGCTTATGTTTAGGTTAAGCTAGGCTAATCAGCTAGCGACAGTGAGAGGGAGGAAAAAAAAAAGCGTTTAATCTTAGTTAGATGTTTTTACTCGTTTTAAACAGTATTCGTTTTTAACTCTAACGAATTTGAGCTTCACACAGTTGCTAACAGCCAAGTTTAGCGTAAAAAAATATCGCACCACGTTGCTCATTTTAATGTAGATTATTATGTAACTCCAGTCAAATCAAGTGTTAATAATGTTGCCGACAGCAACGTGTTACTAGAACTATATCTTGATTTAAAAACGTGCTCTTTTGGTTGGTACTGTTTAAACATCTTCTGCCAATACATGTGGTAACCTGTCTCACTCAAATCCACAAAGTGCAAATGTGCTTACCTGTCAAGCTAACTAGATACAACAATATTACCAACCTAAACCAACTCAGAATATATTTCAGCTTTAGCTTCAGGCTCAAATGAACTATTTGCTTTTACTCTGTGTATGAATGACATTTAAAGTTTAAATTATCCTCTGTAGTGTTATAGGAATGCCCAAGGAAAAATATGACCCGCCGGATCCCAGGCGGATGTACACAATTATGTCGACCGAGGAAGCAGCAAACGGGAAGAAGTCATACTGGGCAGAGCTGGAAATCAGTGGTGAGTGTTGTAGGTTAAGTAGTTGCATTGAATTTGTATCTTTTGTTGTTTTCATAGAGCTTTTTTTTTTAATATAAAACAGTTTTACCCTATATTATGTGATGTTTCTGTGTACTTTTCTTGTCACACTGTTGGGCTGCAGCTTTGTCAATTCATCTGCTGGCAGATTGCTTGGCATATTAAATTGTCAGGAAGTAGTGTTAAATGTCTATCTCAGTTTTGCGGAGCCCAAGGTGACATCTTCAGATTTCTTGTTTTATTTATCTGAAAGATGTTCAAGTCGTTATCATACAAAAGTAAGATATATCCACATTTTAAACATAATAGATGCTGGGACCGGTGAATCCCACACCGGGTTTTTCTGGGAAAATTCATTCCAATGTTTTTCTTCTTGTGCGAAGGGACATAGTTGGTTACTGGGACTTAATTCTGCTGTGTGTTTGTCCCTTTCCCATTGTCTCCGCAGGCCGAGTAAGGAGTCTCAGCACGGCCCTATGGTCTCTCACCCACCTCACTGCCCTGCACCTCAGTGACAACTCATTGTCACGCATCCCGCCAGACATTGCCAAACTACACAACCTGGTGTACCTGGATCTCTCATCCAATAAGATCAGGAGCCTGCCGGCAGAGCTCGGTAACATGGTGTCTCTCAGGTGAGTAGTTTCAGGTTGTATGTTCGCTCCTGAATTTGAACATAATGGAAAGAAGTTGCTGTCACAGAATTTGAATTTGATTGTGGCACTCACACATGGTACGCACCGCTGCCACTCATTATGACAATATGAGTTTTTCATTTAATTATAGGTCTGTCGGATATCTGCCATTTTGTTTCAGGCTTTGCCACAGACATTCAGCAATGAATTAAATGTGAATATCTATTTATCTATTTCATATAAAGATAACAGTGCATATCATGATATAGCAAATTTTCTGTAAATTCACTGAAGAAATAGTTTATATAAAATGAATGTCAGTAAGAGTACAAGCGGCTCATTTTGTCCACCTTCTGTTCACAATTACCCCGTTCTGTGTCACATTCATACTCATGTTGACATGTTTGTTTATGTTGCCTTCATGGAAATTGCGGAAGAACACAGAGCGTTGTCCCAGTGACAAAAATATTCCCAGTGTGATTTACGACATAACGTGTGAAACGCTAGACGTTTTTTTTTTTTTTTTAATGTCACGCAATGTATTGTCACATCGCACAGCCGTCGTGGTTTTTCAGGACAGCTGGTTTCTAATATTAAAATTCCCCTATGTCCACAGGGAACTGCTTTTAAATAACAACCAGTTGCGGATTCTGCCATTTGAATTGGGGAAACTGTTTCAGTTACAAACACTGGGGTTGAAAGGTGAGTGGGCTATCAATGTGTTTTGTAGCCATTCCAGCCTTGAAATCCCATTGTTCCCTTAGCAATGATTCAGCCCGCGTTGCTTTTCCTTCACCAGGAAACCCACTTGCACAAGAAATTATGAGCCTCTACCAGGAACCTGATGGCACGCGGAGACTGCTCAACTACTTGTTAGACAATCTGGCAGGGGCTATCAAGCGCAGTGAGTCCCCCTTCTCTGGTAGCTTTGAGACTGGAACAGGAATTGCACATTTCCCCAAAAGATGGCTTCGTCAGTGTACATAGATGGGGACATTGTGAACTACAGCTTGAGTGCCCTTAGCTTTGTTGAAGTAATTTTGTGACATTTGTTGGTGTCATTACCCATATTGTACCACTTTTTCCCCTCTCTCTGCTCAGTACCAACAGAGCAGCCTCCAGCTCGGTCATGGATCTCACTCCAGGAACCAGACCGAACACGGGCCTCAGGTAAGGACAACATACACAAAATGTGACCTTGAGCACATCAAGGTTCAAGATAATTTGTCATTGTACAACACAAGAATGCACAAAGAAATGAAAGTTGTAATTCCTTCACGCTATGCACACATAGAGCATAACAGATAATTCCATTTAGATTAAAGGAATAATACATTAGAACAAAATAAAAGAATATATACAGATTTTTGTGTGTAGACCCAGGAAATAATTCCACAGTGCATTTTTTAAAATTTGCATCTGAGGGAATATAAACAGCATCAACGAGATTGTATCCATAAAAATTGATGGTCAACCACATTTGACTCTTTTTGGAGAAAAATGTACAAGCTGAAAAGACAGTTTTTTTGTTTTTTTTTAATTGCATCCATGTACGATTTAAGAGTAGCAAGGATCCAAATTATGGTTTTGCGTTAGTAATGGGAGTACTTGACCCAAAAGCAATACTACGGACGCTTTCAATATAATGTGTGCCGACTTCCTGTGGTTGAAAACGAGCAAAACTAACTTTTCAAACATTTTCTGTAAAAAGTAGACATCAGGCAAACATGAGTATTCTACTGTTTCCCATTGATTGGGCATTCATGTTGATTGACCCGGTTGGGGGTGGTCATAACTCGTTTGGACTGACTCAGTGCTCTGTGCTGTTGGAAAATGCATATGATTGCACCCGTACGTCAATGTGGAATTTTAGTAGAAATGGTAAAAAAAGAGAACCAATCTTTTTGGATGGTGTCAGTCTATTTAGTCTGTTGCCTAAATTTAGTTTTTAGGTTTAAAGTGGTGAGTTTACCCTTTCATGTAATATTTAATCTTACATAAATCTTAATACAAGTGTGGCAATGTCCCCACCCCACCATGAAAATATCTGAGGGGACCATAAATCATCAGCTTCTTTAACATTTTTAAGATATACCTTTTTTTGTGTGTGTTTCTCCCCTCAGCACTGTTCTCTGTGATGTGCTACAATGTGCTGTGTGATAAGTATGCCACACGACAGCTATATGGCTACTGCCCCTCTTGGGCTCTAAACTGGGAGTACAGGAAGAAATCCATCATTCAGGAGATCCTGGGCTGCAATGCAGACATCATCAGTTTGCAGGTGAGCGATGGACATCAAACCGTGTGTTTAGGTTTTCACAGAAATTAATGTTTATTTTGTATGTCAGTGTTTATCCAACAAGATAAAAAAAACAAACAAAATGGGGGTGGATGGTGGTAGTAGGCAGTTTTTGTTGAGACAAACGCAACACCTGTAAAATGTTACACAGTAGATGCTCCCTTTATGATGCACCATGCTCGGTGTTAACACTGACCATGTGTGGCCATTTTCTCATCTTCCTGTAATAGGTCAGATTTTTTTGCATCTTATATTAGGAAATTATTATTTGACTATTTTCTGATATATGGAGGTGAGTGGTGGGAAGGTGTTGTCGTCTGTATTGCTCTGTATCATTTGTTTCTTAAATGTATGTTTTGTTTTAATGTGCTTTTGTATTCAATAGTCTATTTCTCTTTATAAGAGAAACAAAAAACAATCATAAGAACTTAGAATAAAATATTCCCAAAAAAGTAATCTGATAATATATTTTTAAAGTGTCCTTGTAACAAGTAGCAGAGTAAATGTCTTGCACTTTAAAACAATCTATAAAGGATCTCTTGCACACAGATCCTTCTTTGTATTCACCCATGCAGAATTACTCCCATTTGCCTTGTTTGCTGGTATTACATCTTCTTTTCCTTGGTGCATTATTTTTCAGCCGTTAACATTTTTATTGCTTCAACTTGGGTATGTGTCATTTCAATGAAAAGCTATCCTACAATATCTCTTACTCTTCCTAGCCTTGTATTAACTGTATTTAGTATTTATATTTTGTCAGCCTTTCCTGTTGTCCATCCTGAAACATTTCTTTTGGCTGATTACAGGAAGTTGAGACGGAGCAGTACTACAATTTCTTCTTGCCTGAGCTGAAGGAGCAGGGATACGACGGGTTCTTCAGTCCAAAGTCACGAGCCAGGACTATGTCTGAGTCGGACCGTAAACACGTGGACGGTTGTGCAATTTTCTACAAGACGGAAAAGTACGTACCTACAATTTAGTACTTACGACTTGTATTGCTGGTTTACTTGCCTTAATGGGACATATAATTATTTGTTTAATCTTTACAGGAAAACATACATTCATACAATACATTGTAGCTCTAAACAATCCAAATCACAAAAAAGAGTTAGTTCAAGTTCTACTCTTTTTATAATAAAATAACAAAAATAAGAATGCATTTCACCTAAACTGTTGAGTATTTGTTATTATTTGATATATAGATGGATGTAGGCCTTTTCATTGCACTGTGTAGGTAATAACCTAATGTCCAATATAGTTATCATATGAGGTAACCTGTTCCCGAAAGGATAGCATGTAATATTGTTGCCTAAGCGATTAATACAGCTTGATTGGTGTACAGTTATGTTGATCACTAATCTTGTGTGATTTTCCCTCCATTGAACAGATGCAATAATTCTGACAACCAAATGATGTATTACTAACTGTAAGCCTCTCACTCCAGGTGCAGTCTGTCTTACAGGGAAATATAACCTGTGCTATTCTTATATTGCAGTATGTTGATGGTATCTAGTTTGTTGAGGAGTGTATCAGCTGGGTGGAGCTACCACTGCTGACCTACCTAACCAGTTTTATTACTTTGCAAATGAGAAGGTCTGCAAGGTTTTTATTGTTGCAGCGATAACATTGATTGTACTCCTCTTGGCAAATCGTGTGTCAAGCTGCCCATTATCTATATGTTTACGCTGCTTTCACGTTCGAATACAGTTTTAGAAATGGTTCATAGTTAATTCATTGCTGAATACAAACCCTAGGCCTGTGGGGTCTTGTGCTTTTATGTTTCTGCCTTTGCTACTTCTAAAATTCTACACAGATCAGATTACAACACTGGTGGGATATTGAGTAGAAGTTGAAGTTACAAATTGGACTAGAAGGTTAAAAAGGGGGGTACTTTTGTTTTGAAAGCAGCACTTAAACAAAAAGTCCATAGTGGTCAATCAATCCTGAGCAGTTTAGTTTTGATGAACCTTAAGGGGGAACCCCACCGTTTTTACACAGTATGTTTACAGGTCTTCTTGTACTACTGGATCAGGGAAAACGGTTATAAAATGTGTTTGGCTCTGGAGGAAGCTGTGTAAAGACAGATGTCGGTGTCTGCCGGGGACTGAAGGAGGTTTTGAAAATACTAAAACTCTGGTGGTGTGGAGTCAGAACGAATTGAGATTACCAGACTTCTGTAGCCTGCTCCTCATCTCTGCTCGAGGCTGCATTAGCCACTACTAGCATAACACACCTGAATCTCTGACTGAACTGTTGGCAGTCATGTCGCATTGTGGGTTATGTAGGTGCCTGGTTTTACAAGGATGTTTTTTTTATTTTTTTCCTAGTTGACTAGTCGTTAGATAAAGTTAATAGTCGACTAGACATAGTACGTTTATGATATTATAGTATTTAAATGTATAGATTTTAACAGCTGCCGGTGAAATGATAACAGAAAAAGCAGTAATAAATGATGAATGTGTCAGAGCAACCAGCAAGGAGACTGAACATCAAGTTTATTTCAACATGTTATAATGTCACACAAGTGTTGTTGTTCAAAACATGGAATAAATAAGATGCAATGTATGACGTTATCAGTTATCACTTAACATGCTTCAGACTCGCTGCTCTTCCCTGGTTTGATGTCTCTCCTGTCGCTCACCCAGTGTTTGATTTGTCCCTTGTTGACTCTTGTGGTTCAACATGGCAGATTCCAAGTGACCTTCAGCATCTGTAGATAAAAATGGCTCATTGTAAGCTAACAAAAACATAACCATTCCTGTGTTCAGGTGATTATACACTAATGAAAACATGGTTAAGCGTAGTATTTTCCATTTCTTCCAACAGATCCTCTTAAATATTAGACACAGAACTTTTTTTAAAGTGACGCATAGAAGGCTGAAGCTTCCACCATACAGCAGCTGGCTGTACTGATTTCTGTATAGCAGATTTGCCATTTAATTGTACAGCAATGTCATTAATGTTATAGTGGTGATGGAACAATGTTCAGATTAGTTGTAGGTGTTACCATGCGTGAGCCATTGTGGGACACAGTTACATCAAACTGAGCTGAAGATTATTAGAAGTCATTGTAAATAATGTGCTTGTCTTTATTAATTTATTCCCACCACTGCTAACAAAACTTGCATTAAGCCTTCTCTTCTCCTGTCTCCCACTGTTAATGTTCAGGTTCAGCGCAGTGCAGAAGCACACAGTGGAGTTCAACCAGCTGGCCATGGCTAACTCCGAGGGCTCAGAGGCTATGCTGAACAGGGTGATGACCAAGGATAACATCGGAGTAGCTGTACTGCTCGAGGTCCGCAAAGAGATGATGGAGGTCTCCTGTAAGTAGACACCTTATTCTGATCTCTGGCCCTCCTTATTTGCGTACTTGGCATCTCTAGATCGACTGCATCTATTTTTCTTTAAAATCAGCTAGCGCTGCTGATCTGGAACTGACTTTGTCCATGTTGCATAAATAACTGTTGGCAGTGAATTTAATTTGTCTTAATTCTTCTTTGCACCACTTCCCCGTGGTTATCTTTTTTTCCTCTCCTTTCAGCTGGAAAGTCACTCCATGGCATGGAGAAGCAGCTGCTCCTGGTAGCCAACGCCCACATGCACTGGGACCCAGAATACTCTGACGTCAAATTGGTCCAGACCATGATGTTCCTGTCGGAGGTGAAGAACATAGTGGACAAGGCCACGCGCAGCCTCAAGTTGTCCTCCGTCTCTGGTGAGACCAATGCCATTCCACTGGTGCTGTGTGCTGACCTCAACTCCTTGCCTGACTCTGGTAAGTAAGCAAGGCTGAATAGGCCTGTGCTCGATCTGCTCACAGAGTTTGTGCATACATTCATAAAAGATACTATAAATAACAGTATCTCCTGGCAGGGTGCCCTTGAGCAAAACTGAACCTCAACTGGATGAGCACAACCATGTGTTTCATAGCTCTCTGGCAATTTAATAAAAATAAAAGGCTCCCATTACTGTTTGAAATATTTGTAAATTATTACTATAATATCTTACAGTATGCATAGCCCTGTTTGCAAAAAATGTTTATCTAATACCTAATGTGAGCAATTGACTCCACAACCTAGACCGAACAATCAGTTAATGGAGAAAATACTTGACGAATTGTTTAGATGAATTAAATACGATGAATTGATAATGTAAGGGGTCCTTAGTTGCACTACTAATGTTGTTGCAGTTTGTTAGCATGTGATGCAGTCCTGAAATATGCCATACCTAGACCTTTTTGCCCACAGAAATATGTACTTACCTAACCTTCATTCGTCTAATTTATAAATCCATTATCTTGAGCAATTTGCTCCTTTTGTCACTGTGACCTTGTTCCTTTTACATGTCTCAGTCTCTGTGCTGAGGTGCAGCATAGAGATTTAGAGGTTAAGTTGTCCTGAAAATTTACTGAAAATGTATTTCCTGCTTTGATTTTCCTGCTTTCTTCATTTTAACCCACAAATTGACAGAAGAGAAGACATTGACATGTATTACTGTGATTTATTGTGGCCTTTGTTCCTGCATATGTGGCGGAAAAGTGAACCAGATACAAAATTGTTTCTATACACAAACTGGCACAGCTTGCAATGCAGGGGACGATTGAATAATTGAACCTTCGTGTTACAGCGAATACTGCTAGTAACCTACAGTGTCCAAAATGTCTGCCTTGAGAAATGCCATTTAGCATATGTTAAGGAACAGACTTGCCGTGGTCTGTTGGGAAGTGAAGTGCCACTTGACTTTTTCTTGATTCTGATGAAAACAACTTCTCATCTCTCCACTCTATTCAGGCGTCGTGGAGTACCTTAGTTCTGGTGGAGTAGACTGCACCCACAAGGACTTCAAGGAGCTTCGTTACAGCGACAGTCTGACCAAATTCAACTGCAATGGCAAGAACAGCACGTCCAACGGCAGGATCACCCACGGCTTCAAGCTGAAGAGCGCCTACGAGAACGGCCTGATGCCTTACACCAACTACACCTTCGACTTTAAGGTGATTGTACTGACAGCACATGTGTTTGTTTGTAGCAATTTTCAACTTTGAGTCTGTTAATAATAAACAAACAGCCATAGAATACATAAACATGATAAAAGTGGGATTAATGTTTCCTAGCATCATATTAAGGATTAATTTCTGTTGAGTTAACACTCCTCTTATTCTTCTCTCCTCAGGGTGTCATCGACTATATTTTCTATTCCAAGCCTCACCTGAACGTGCTGGGTATCTTGGGCCCCCTGGACCCCCACTGGCTCGTAGAGAACAATGTCAGCGGCTGCCCACATCCCCACATCCCCTCCGACCACTTCTCCCTCTTCGCCCAGCTGGAGCTGCTCCTGCCCAACCTGCCCCCCCAGGTCAATGGGCTCCATCTGCCTGCACGCAGGTAGTGAGTCCCTGCCACACCACCAGGGGGAGCTGCAACCACAGCCTCTCCCTTTCCAACCCTCCTCCCTCCCACTACCAGCTCTTCCCTCCACTACAACGGAGGAGGAAGACAAAAAACACAACCTGTAAAATATTCGTACAGTGAGGTCTGGCCGACAGGGATTTCGTATAATGTTATAGATATTCTATATTTTTTCTTTTTTCTTTCTCCGTTTTTCTTTTTTGTTCTTTTTTTAACTGCTCAATTCAGTCCTGTTTGTGTATCATATTTTGTGTTTTGGACTCCCTTTCCTACTCAAATCCACCCACCCCACCCACTTTACTTCTGTCTTTCAAACTAGAGGGAATGGTAGCTCATTCAGCTTTGTCACATGGGGCACTGTTTGGTTTAAGAGCAAGGGGAAACTTAGAAGTGGCTGAGGGGCGACATTCACCTGAAAAGCTGATGGTCTGCCTGTCTGTCTGTCCTGTATAAATTTGAAACCAGCAAAGACAGCAGACTTGTCAGTCTCAGACCTCCATCATTGGCTTGTGCTTGTTTTCCCCTATAATCTGGGCAGCCAGCGTAGTTTCTCAGTCTTTCTAGGATACACTCAGTTGAGTCGGATGTCGTTGCTGGTAGTTAAGCGTCCCTGGAGGTGGATGTAGCGCATCTCGTATGAGGTAAGATTTCCTGCTGTCATTCTGTGGTGCTGAGGCCTTTTGTGTGGTCACGGCCTCCCGTGGTGCTACAAGATAGTCTACACCTCTGACCCCGGCCCTGGCGCATTAGCTACCAAACCCAGAGATGCCTCAAGAACCAGACGTCCAAGAACTACATTAGCCTGATTTCACATGGGCGTAATGTAGTGACTAATTTGTCAAGGACGGATGTGGTGAGAAACTGAGAGCAGCTACCATCCTGTTTGCAGACTGTTTCACCCCAGCTTGTATAGTTGTTAGGCTAGTCTTGTGCTTAGGAGCTCATGTGGCCCATGTACCACCAATTTTTGGTCAAGGGGCAAGGGATTTAGGCTGATGGGCAAAGCGATGAGGGGCTTTCACAAAATCTTTTCTTTGTCTTGATTGCTTTTAGGCAGAGAGAGCGAGTAATGGCTAATACACAGGAGTAAAACCAGCATTCCTCTCACTGTCTGGAGTTGCCACTCAACTCCACACATGCAAGCTTACACACACAGACACACACATACACAGAAAAACACAAACGCATAACACAGGTAATTTGCAGGCAGATCTGTAGCACTGTCTCCGAGGCCAGTAGTGACTTTCCCCAGCCATAAATTCCATACACAAAAGCAGTGGTTTTTTTCACAAGTGTTTGTACAGAATAGAAATCTAGACTCAGTCTTTACATGATTGTATATGAACCACAAAAGACCTGTTTTCTGGCGTTTTTTGTACTAAGAGTAAATTATGATCAGATTTGAAAAAAAAAAGATTGTATTGTAAACTATGGCTAAATTTTTATCCAGTTAATGTTAAGATGAATTGATATTACCAGCTTGTACAAAAGACGTAAGAAGAGGTTGTTCAAGGCGTTCGCTGTCACTACTTTGCACTCCCTAGAGATTAACTGTAATTAATGTATCAGTATTATTTTTTTTTCCTCCCCCCTCTCTCTGCTGTTGATTTAATTTGCCGGCATATTGCTGTGATTGTAAATAGACACTGAGTAAACTCTGCCTGTTGCTTCTTGCCCATTAACAAAGCCATTGATCCACACTGCTGCCATCAGTTCAGACAAAAGGACACGCAAGGATGAGTCGCAGCCCACCAGTGACTCCACATCTGTTCATCTATAGATCTCACACGCTCTCCCACTAGTGACATGTGACTGGTACAACCTATATAAATCCCACATGTACAACAAAACATCGTGCCTCACTGTAGCAGTTGTCGTTGTCTTGCACTATATACATATGTTGAACGCCTGAACAACCTTTTCTCCTTTTATTTTTAAATACTGTTGAGACATTTGTGAAGATTTTATGTCCTTTTATTGGTTTTTGTTAATGTTGATTTCCTTTTTTATGAGCTGTGACAATGTTATGATGATGTGTATATCCTTCCTATTCATTGAGCTCTCTAGTAATCAGGTATGCTTTCTCCACCGACCCTTTCTCCTCTCCTTAAGGAACATGAGTAGGATGTCTTATCGTTATTAAATCCCCACACTCGGATTGTTTTGCTCCCTCTTTGTACCTTAGCACAGCCCCATGCCCAGACCCCCAAAATACATAGTCCATAGCTCCTTCTCTGGCCATGAATTTTAAACCCCTTTAACCCTGTCCATCACGTGTCCCATAACCCTATACCGCCCCCCACCCCCCACCCACTTTCAACCGCCCAACCTCAGACCTTCCCTGCCCACTATATTACTCAAGCTGTGTCTTTTAACCCCCCCCCTTTGCTCAACCACTTTGTATAGTTCTCTTACCCTCATCACTGCAGCTATAGTGCCATCTGTGGACCCCCTACCTCTGTATTGGAAAAGGTGGAAGGCCCACTTTGATCTTGCTTCTGGATGAACGGGGAGGGAGGGGCAGCGGGCTCAGCTGTTACTCTGAAAAGCCGGGCGATCGCGTTGCTATGAATCAAATTTGTTACATCCAAAACAAACAAGTGAAATCTGTCGCTGGTGAGACGCTTTTTTTCAACAGCCACGCTTTCACATGGATACAACGGATGATGAGCACTTAGTAGATTCAGATGCAGCTCCCCTCACCCCCCGTTTCATCGCGTTAGCGAATAAAGATCTCATTACTTTAATGGATATGTTGAAATGACATTTTTAAAGCAAGAGGGAAGCAAGTAAATAGGAAGTACAAGTTTAGTCCTCAGATCAAGGTCTCTTGTCCCATTTATTTTCCCCCTACATGTTTGTTTTTTAACTTTTGTTTTCCAGTGGAAACCAATGTGTCCAGTTTGATTTCTTTTTTTCCTGAATGGCATTAGTATTGTAGTAGATTTAAAGGCTAGCTTTTTTTGTAAAGTGTGAATAAAAGATGTATCTCATGTTTCCTTTCTAAAAAGATATTGAATTGTGTTGTTGTGTAAATCATGAATTCTATGATGGTGTTTTGTTGCTACATTGTTTTTACTTTTACTCGGTATGTTTTTCCCCATATACTCTTATTCCCATCACAAACCAAATCCTCTGTAGAAATCATGAGACGTTGTCTTGATGGGTTGATTTAGAGGGCTTGAATGTTCCTGGTGATGCCTCGTAGAATGAAGGATTGAGTGCTTATCAGAGGGAGAAGTACCTACGTCATTGGTATCAGTAAAAACTTTCAGAACAGGGATATTCATTCGTTTTTTATTTTTTTTTTTACTTTTCAGCTTTATTTTGGATGTTGCATGGCACTAGCTGGAGAGTGCTAGTGCCTGTAGATTAGGGCAGCAGAGCTGTCTTACTAGTGGCTGCAGTTCAGTACTAGAGAACACTGTTCTGACCGGTGTAAAAACTTGTTTGTAAGACTAAGCTAATGACCTGCCGCTGGTCGCTAGACTAGTGCTGTGATGATTTTGAGTACTACTAGTCCATCTCACTCTGTTCTTGTGCATCACAGTGGTTAAATCTGTTCCACTAGCTAGCTACTATTGATAGTCACTGATTTGACTCTTAAATCTTTTCCATTGTTGACCCCCCCCATCACTCTCTTGTTAAACCACAGATTATGGCTTCTGAGTGAGAATCTGGCAAATCGCAGAGCTGAGTTATGTCACCCTGTAAGCTTCAGCGAGCGATTGCGTTGTTGGCTTTGTACCACTGTTGCATTGTGTTTCATAGTTGGCTTGTTAGGCGTAGAGTGATTTCCCAGGCTGCATCTCTTTTTTTGTAATGGTGCACACCAAAGCTGCTTGTAGTTCAGTTCTCTGTTGTAGAGCGAGTTCTTTCACCAACCAGTCACTTTAAAAAAATAAATAAAAATCTGAAATCATAGTCTTCATGAAATGTTAGGGCTGTAAGGAAAGCAAGGTACTTTTGTCCTTTTCCTTGAATCACATGAACATGTTGCATCCATATTCATACTTGTGTCACTTTTGTTGGAGTTTGGTTTCTCAAATTATTTTAAATGCACCCTGTTCCAAAAAAACAACAAAAAAACTTGGCAATAATACCCAAACATTCAGACACATTCAGAATGGGTTTTTAAATATGTTATCTGGAAAAATGTAGCTATTTCATCTTTCAAACTGTGGTCGTCTTATTTTTTCCTTTTGAACTCTCCATCTTTAACCCTCCTAGACTGTTTTGTTACCTGAACACCTCTTTGTGAACACCTCTTTGTTTACCCCTGCCCATCCTTTTCTCATCCATCTTGTATATTTGCTCATCTCCTTCTCCCTGACGATCTAGTGGTAGTTGTTCAATGATCAGGATTGTCTATCTGTAGTCAGCTGAGTACATATATTGATCTGTGTCACTGTGTTTATGCACTGGACCAACTATTGTTTACCATTCATGAAATACCAGCAAAAAAAAAAAAGAATAATGGCAAAAACACTTGCACAATGTTGTAGAATGTCCATTAACCCAGATGAGAAATCAAGGCAGCTGTTTTCAAATCAACACATACTGTTTTAAAAAGAAACTGAATGGTAAACAATGCTTTCTGTTGTACCCCTTAGCCGTCCTCTCGATTCTCTTTGGACTAGTTTTGTTCTTTTATTTTTTCCGTTTGACTACAGGTTCTGCTTGTTTCCTTTACACCTACCTATGTATTTTCCTACTTCTGGTTGAAAATAAATTCTATATTATCTGTTTCAAGCTGTGTCATCTTTTATTCTTTGCAATGGATATTGAAAATAAATTCTATATCTGTTCTCCTTGTATTGCCTCCTTTTGCTTCCCTTTTTTTTCCAGTTTTTTTTATATTTCCAATCTCTCTGATTTTGAACACTAGACAACCCAACTGGACTATAGATGTTTTTTTTTATTTGTTTTTTTTCTCTCCTCTTTCTCAGTCCAGTGACCATATCAGCCGTTTCAAATGTAGAAGGCGTGCTGCAAAAGCAAGTGGACTGCTAGCTCCCACTGCACAGTGACTACAGTTAGACTGAGGCTTTCCTAAAGTATAATTATGAGCTTTGTGTGTTGGTTGATGTTAAAGTGTGCAAGTGTGTCAAACAGCTGGCGGAGGCTGCATTATGAGGCCCAAGAGTATACAGGTTTTCATTCCAAATAAGTTCTAACACCTAATTAAATGTAATGAATATCAGTGGGGTGTTTGGTTGAAATTAAAACCTGCGCTCTCACAACTCTGACACAGACATGCAGGTTAGAGAGGCCAACTGGGTCGAAGCCTCTGTGTCAGCAAGTGCACTTACCACCTGAAGTGTCTTTTAGTAAGACGCTGAACCATTACCAGCACCACGGGTGCTGTTTTGCAGCCGAGCCTGACCTTTGATTTTTCTCCAGAATGGCAAATGAAAAGAGAATTTCCCATTGGGGATCAATAAAGTTTAACATTAACATTTAATACCTAAAACTGCCCGGGGATGACAGTTTGTGCATTATCATTTGTAGACATACGGTGGCGCCAAAGGATCACCTTCGAAGAGACTCTGAAAACTGATCTATCTCATCTACTTGAAGGAGTTACTAGGTCTGAACGAGTCACTGGTGGCTCATAACATCAGCTGGAGTGAATTTAGAGAGATCAGGGGTGAGACAGGAATTTGAGCAAGACACTTTAGTTAGGACACAGCGGGAGCACAATAACTATACTCCAAGGTTTAATCAAATGCCAATTGGGTAAATAGGACATAACATTGTGTACCATTTGTTATGAGTGGTATAAATGTGTATTTGGATGGTTTGTATACTAATTAGAGAGGCTAGTGATAACAGTGGAGTTCAGTTTATTCTTGACTGTTTGTGTTGTCATTAAAAGTTCATTAGATCAACTTCAAATTTGTTGACAATAGTTGTGATAGTTGATTAAGTCATAATAAAACAATTGACTGAATCTATCAAGCAAATATGAAAAACATTCACTGGTTCCAGCTTCTCAAATGTCTTATCATTGTCAGTGAAGTAAAGTTTGAGTCACGTTGGGCTCTGGGGGATTGCGCTGCATGTCATTCTGACCCTTTATAGACGACACGATTTATAGAATAATTAAAAACATAGCACTCTCTACGTCTGTATAGGCTGTATTCTCCCCTTGCCCTAAGGATAAACAAAGTACCCTGCCCTTGCCACACCCCTTTGATAAAGCCTTTTCAAAGACCAGTGTGTAGAATTTAGTGACATCTAGTGGTCTGATTGCAGATTGCAACTTCCTCACCATCACCATCCATCTCTTCCAAACACTAGGAAGAAAACTAGGTAGCCGCGAAATGCACAAAAAAACTAACGGCTGCCTAGAGCCAGTGTTGGTTGTGGGCTGGCTATCGTGAACATGGTGGTTCAACATGGCCAGAATCCAATGAAGGTGACGCTGCAATGGTCCTGTAGTGTCATAACGCATGCACTATATACAGGTGATACATGTATTTTTACCAATACACACCGACTTGTTTTTCCTACAAACACAACAACACAATTTATATTCTGTTTGTTGTAAATGATGTGTACTGCATTGTTTCCCTAAACTTAACACATGTATCGACTGTGTGGGAATGGTGAAAATGCGAAAAAAAGTTTGAAAGTTTGGTTTTCTCAAGCATAACACACAAACCTAGTTTAACACACTGCATGTGTTTGTGTGTGTGTGTGTGTGTGTGTGTGTGTGTGTGTTCGTTTCTATGCTTTATAGTCACTATAACTTATATAATAACAATTAATTTGTCATCTGCTTTTTTACAGCTTTTGTAATAAAGTAAAACAGGGCAGTGATTCACTTTTCCTAATGGTCATTTCAGGAAAATTCTTCAAATTGTGTGCTGTAAAAATTTTTGTTTTCTCTGTTTTAAACACATGAACGTGCCATTTTTTACCCTTAACACAACAGGAGGATTAATCTATAACAAAAATCATCATTACTTACCCCCGATCTAAGAAGTACAAAATGTGCCAAAATGTGTACTCAGCTGACTACAGATAGACAAGTTCAACACTTGTCTCTCTTCATCATGCTCGGCCTGCCATGAAATAACACAGTGCTGGAAGGAATTCTACACAACTAGTCTATAATCAATTTGGTATTTATTGAAGTCTATTGGTTTTGTTTGTTGACTGCTCAAACTAATTACGGTTTTCTTCGAACTGTTGGATTTCACAGTGCTGCATATGTGTCCATGAAATGATTACCAGCTAACAGACCTGCAGGGATGTGAGCCACCATCTCTCCTCCATAAAGGAACAGAAGTGCTTACAGAACCTGACAGACTCATGCAAAAGTTGAAACAAATGTTTAACACATGCTCACAGGATAGACGGGCAAAAATAACAATAAAATGATGTGAAGTTCTGCAGAACAAAATAATGAAGTATCAACATTCACCTTTTAGCACACACACACAATAATAATGCCTATTGATGCAGCAGAAGTTGCATGCAAAGAGCCACAAGGCTTCCTATTGTTACCCTGAAATGGACTGTGACAGTAAATATGATTCTCACCTGATTGTGCTCATATGGAAACCTGGGTTTTTTTAACATGCTGCCGTAATTCAGTTAATCTGTTTAAAATGAGACTTAGGAAGTTGGAAGGGAATATCAAAGGCTATCCAAGAGGCAATTTTCCCTCCTAAGGCCGAGTACTATTTCTTGTTTTGAATGGAATTTTTTGGCAGGAACAGCTGTCCAAATGTGCGTTTGTGTGTGAGGGGACCTTAGAGAGGACGAGGGAGTTTGTTGTTCGCATAGAGAGAAAGAAGACAGATTCCTCTTTACTTCACCCCAATGTTTGTGGACTATCTGTCTTGTGTTGACGTGGCAGCATGATTGCTATGCCTGTAAAGTCCTTTGCAGATGTAGACTCTCTCTATTTCTCCTCTCTTGTTCCTGCTTGTTTTCTTCCTCGTCTATATCCTCCCTTACTCCTCCTCCCCCACTCAATCATCCTTTTTTTTATCCTTTTTCTCTGGAATTCCCACCAGTGTGTGTGCATAACTACTAGGCCAGTTGCCTGTGTGATGTTCAGCCAACTCCTCCTAATACGCTCTCAGAATACTTCTTTGGGTTCCATGGTTGTGGATTCAAGTTGTTAAGCTCTAGAAATGAGCTCATGAAATATAGCTGTGTTTGTGTCAAACTGCGGCTGGACCTGCCAGACACAGACACATGGCCAACACAGCAGTCCGGGCGGGAACTCAAAACTGAAATTTCCTGAGAATTCTTCTGTGGATATCACCTCAAGACAATCCTGACCTCGACTGCGAACAGTGACGGAAAACAGTTAAACCATTTGGACCAATTGGCAATAGCTTTTATGGAGGGAATGCCACCTGAGTGTGTGCTGGTCTGTAAAACAGCACATGGTTGTGTCAGTGCATGTGTGTGTCTTTTATTACTCTCGTTAAACCAAGGGGTGTGGTTTTGTCCTATTAGAGAGGACGGAGAGACCTGAGAGTTATGTGTATTGGCCAGCCGCAGCTTTGGGTAGAAGGTGTGCACTGTAAAACGTTGTGAGTTAGATTAACTTTAGAAAAGTGGATTTTGCTAAATTCAATTATAGTCTGCTTGGAACAATAATCTGTGTCTGATCTGTTTTTTTTTTTTATGCCTTTATTTGATAGGACAGCTGAAGACAAAGGGGGCGAGAGCAGGGGAATGACACGCTAGCAAAGGGCTGCATGGTCAGATTTCCAACCCTCGGGGCCGCTGCAGCAAGGACAAGGACTCAGCCTCAATACATGGCTCGCCAGCTCTACCCACTGAGCTAACCGGGAGCCCCATTTTGGTTTTTAAAAAAAGAAAAAAGTATACATTAAAATCCGTAAAAACGGCACCTCATTAAAAATGTCAGAATTTATGAATTAAGGATGTCACCATACCAGAAATTCAGTAGTCGACACTAATACCAGCGAAATTCCACAATTCTCGATACACACACTGATTTGCTACACCTCTTTCTGTCTAGCTCCCTGTATGTGGCTCTGTTGACTTTATTCAGCAGTATGTTTTTATAAAGACACCAACAAAACACGACTCTTGTTTGGGATTTTTTTCACCCACGATGCTTTTTTTAACAACAGCAGGTGAGTTGTGTGTGGCAGAGGCTCGTTGTTAATGACGTACCTTATCAAAATGATGGAAACCAACGTGGTACCGAAGACATCAGCACGAACTGGGGTGTTCACTGCTGTTCACTCTTGCTTGTGCCATGCTTGTAAAATATCCACTGTTTCTGTGCCAGAGAGAGTCTGTCTTTGTGTTTCTCTGAGCAGGTGCGACTGTCACTAGACTGTACAGGAGGGGGCCCCCCTTAGGTCTGGTAGAATCGAATCCCTGGTACCTACAGTACTGTAGAAAAATTAGTACAATCATGCATTCAGAACTTTGGTATTGACTTGGTACCAAAGTGTTGGATATCATAACATCCCTAATATGAATATGCATATTTTGTTCGTTGTTTGCTGGACACACGATGTGTCTAGTGATAACAGAAGTGTTATCTTCAAGTTTCTAAATCACACTTAGTAACATAAGTTGTAAATTGGACCAGGATTTTCAGTGAGCGCAGAGAAACTTTCCACTTTCAGCAGATCAATGTGAAAATATCCTTCCAGTGTCAAACTCTGCATGAACATCATTCTGCACAGTGAAGCTCAAACATCTAACTGCAGGAACAAGAAGAAAAACATAATTTTGAGTG